AGGGGTTCGCCAGCTTCAGGTGGCTGCCACACTGGATGGCACAGTGCCCTATACCACACTGTGGGCTTCTGGAGGATGGGAACTGCCTGGGTCTTCCATATGGTGGTGTTTCAAGTGTTCGATGACTAGCCAGGACACACTGATGAGGTCCTTAAATATGCTCCCCTTTTCACAGAACAGAGAGTTCTGTATAAAGTACAAAAATCTAAAATCCTTCCAATACCAATACAATGATGGTCTTATCAATGAGAACTTGAGTCTGTCTAATGTCAGACCCCGGGTACTTACTATTCAACAAGGTCCACGCACCCACAATAACTGTCACCCAAGGGGCAAAGGCACTCAGACGAGCCATAAGGAAGGAATATAAATTTCCCAAGAACACATTGCAAAATATTAAGTGTCACTTCTGGTCACAGGTTGTAAAAGAAACAGCTTTTTCCTGCCTGGTTGCTGTTAAGGGATGAACGAGTTTATCCCCACGTAGACTACAGCCAGGAAACAGCCTTGTGCACTAGATAGAGATGCAGATCTTTCTGGAAGGCAGCTTGAGAAAATATTTCCTAAGCCATAAAAATGTTCACAATACCACACCCAATCTTCTCTGGACTCTATGAGCTTTAAAGATGACAGCTAGGAACACAGGGACCTGCCTCTGCCTCCGGATTGCTGGGATTAAAGGTGTGTACAGCCGGGGTCGGCCTGGAGGTCTATTTTTGAAGGCAAAGATTAAAAGGGACAGATTACACGACAAAGGAAGGTTTCTACTCACAGGTTCATCTCAAACAAGAAACTAGAACTGATGGATTTCCAGTTTTTGTTAAGCAACATTGCCACAAGATACATGAGCCAGGACCTTTCTCATTCATCATTAGTATTCATTACGTGTTTTATAGTTTTGATCATGTGCACATGAAGTAGAAGCATCCTATCCAGGACACTATCCTCACTGTGAACTGTAGTTTGTTTTTGAAGGACACCAGCAATGCCTAATGCCAATACCTAATGCAGCTCTCAAAGGCCAGCTCACCCATCACACAAGCAGTCACGTGGTTTCAGTGTGGTGCGCTGGGGATGCCCCAGGGGTAGAGACAGGGCTCTGAGTTTGTCTAACAGAGGAGATAGAAAAACATTCTCAACTCACGAGAAATGTACTTGAACACCCAAGGCCTCAGAGAGACGAGGGGATCGCTGGTAGGTTTAGGGCAGTGATCCCACACCATTCAAACCAGGCCTCAGAGAGACGAGGGGATCGCTGGTAGGTTTAGGGCAAGGATCCCAAAGCACTCAAACCAGGCTGCTATGGCTATGTTCTTAGCACTGTTTCAGTGATACGGACCAGGTGCCAGGGACTTCAGAAGCTAGGCTATGAGAGTTGGGATCATCTCTTCATTTCGTATTCAACAAATTCTTACATATCTAGTGGCTTAAACAGATCAAACACATGAGCTTATAGTTCTGAAAGTCACAAGCCTCAACTCTGCTTCTCGGAGCTGAAGTCATGATGTTAGCAGGTGTGGTCAGGACGTGAACCCTCCTCCTTGGCAGCTAGTTTGGCAAGACCACTTGCATTCCTTGGCGCACAACCCCTCCCTCCCATCACTGCAATTCCTTGCTTTCTGTGACTTAATTTCTTACTACTTCCTTTGATCTCCTGTCTCCTAAAGCCCTGTGATTATTCGGGATTCTAGAGGTAACAGGATTATTTTCCTATCTAAAGGCCCTTAACTCAGGCATAGTAGCAGTGTTTTTACCGTATAAAGTATCATTGGTAAGTTCTGGGGTCTGTTTTTCAGCCTACGACAGTAGCAGGCACTGGAAGGGCCAGAACCTGAGCTGAGAGACAAAACAGAGCTGGAGTGGAGAGGGTACTAGAACTTATGAAGTGTGGTCTTGCCCCACCAGGTTCAGTAGCTTCCTAGGGCAAGAAAATCCATTTTCTCAGTTTTTTGGATGCCGGAAGTGAGGCCATAAGCTTCCTACTAGTCACCCTTTTGCTGTGTGCAGGATTTTTCTCCTTTGAAATGGTCTGGTTTTGTAGCTCAGGCTGACTCCCGTCAAGGCTGGGATTGCAGGTGTGGGCCACCTGCACACACTCGGCTCACACTTGTCTTGCGTTTCCATCTTCTCTGCTCTCCAGGACAGCAGCTCCTCTAGGATCTTGTTTACAGTCAGTCACTTGCTCAAATGCAAACATGTGAATACTCACGGCCAGGATTGCAATACACGAATGTGGTAGGTAGGGCTAAGCCTCTGCCCATAATAGGCTCAGACTTAAGCCAGCTCAGCTAAATGTTGGCAGCTACTGCAGATGACAACACAGTACCTAAGAGCTCCGACCTGGTTGTCTGAAGGATTCCCTGCAGCTCACCTGAATATAGCTGGGCCCTCTCCATCTTCTCTGCAGGCAATGCTGCTAACAGAAGCTAGCTAAGCATGCATGACCCGAGGAGCATAAAGAGACTGAGCCAAGAAGGGGTGCAGGGAATGGAGGGTACAACATGGTGGTGAAGCCCTTTAAAGTCTGGTGGAGACATTGAATGCTGAGCAAAGAGCCAGGAGAGGGAGAGGTGGCACTACAGTGCCAGATTGTAGCAATCCTGTGAGTCCCATCTCATCCCTGCCTCACCGTTGTGATGGAGGAGACTGTCCAGGCTATAAGGCTCTTTAACCTGTTTCTGTGCTACCTGCAGGCTCAGAAGTGGACTGGGGCAAGGGTCTCTCTCCAACCAGCACATTTCTCAAGGCCAGACCAGCACCCGAACCTATCATATCAGCGAGCATCCTCACACCTGGACAGCCCGGCTGCTGAACTCCCGCTCGGCATGAACTTGGTCGACTCTGTCATTGTTGGAGCTTACGGCCTACTCCATCTTTGTTCCCATCTCTCTTCAGCCTTACTGCAAGAAGAAGTGAAAGAGCCTGAAAAGAACTGAAGTCAAAGCATCTTTAGGAGGAGAATTTGTGACTCACAAACGCTGAGACTTTCATCAACTTTATGACTCATTACTGTGAAACTCTCATCAGCTCACGGAGGGAAACGAGAAACAACTGACATTCATCCCTTTCACCTCCGACTGAAGCCACTGTTAACGGGCAGATGTCTAAGCATCTCAAGATTTCAGAGCTTTTTTTTTTTTCTTGCCATTAGTGTTTGGAGACAGAAATCAACAGTGATTTAAATTCTATTCCAACACAGTCAAAATTAGAGAAAATCTAAGGAGACCATGTTATCTTAAAAGGAGAAAGAAAGCCAACATTCCCATCCTGAAGGCTGGCTGTCCAGATGTCCGGGTTCTTCCCCGAGGCAAAGAACTGAAACCCAGGGACAAAGAAAGGCAAGACTCAGGAGGTGAAGACAGGCGGGTTCTCCAGTCTGAGGGACCCGGGCTGGTCTTTCACGAGGTGCCTGGATCCTGTCCCCACTTCCTTTTTCTCTATCTTCCCATCACCTCATATCCTGAGCCCAGATGTCCCCTTTGGCCCATGAGATAACAACCCAGCTGCATCTCTCCATAGTCCAGCTGCCGGGTCTTCTCACTCTGACCTTTCCCGATGCTCCTGTTCACGTCGCCTTTGCTGCTGTTGAGACTTGCACAGCTGCTACTGTGTGACATCTGCACAGAGTGTGCAGCAGGAACTCCAGTCATGGCCTGGACCCCCAGGCTCATCAGTGCCTTGTGCCGCCATTGCCGTCAGTCACGTTAGCAGTCCCCTCACCATCACTAGCAGTGGCTTACATCAAGTGACATCTGTTTCAGTGTGATAATTAATAAAATAAAGGAAAAAGTCAAGAGCACAGATTGGAAGACATACTGGTGGGGCTGGAGAGCTGGCTCAGCAGTTAAAAGCATTGGCTGCTCTTATAGAGGACACGGATTCAATTCCTAGCACCCACAGGGCAGCTATTACTGTCTATAACTCCAGACTCAGGGGAATCTGATGCCTTCTTCTGGCCTCTGTGGGTTCTGCATGCATGTGGTACATAAACATACCTGCCAACAAACACCTATAAATATAAAATTTTTAAAATAGGAGAAAAAACGTATTATAACACACAAAAGTTGGGCTGGAGAGGACTCAGTGCTAAACAACACTTGTTCTCGCAGAGGACCTGGGTTCAATCCCAGCACCTACAAGGTGGCTCACACCCATCCTTAACTGCAGTTCCTAGAGATCTCACCTGCTTTTCTGACCTCTGTGGGCACCAGGCACACACATGGTGCACAACACATGCACACAAAACACTTATCCTGAGTGACAGGGATCTGGAAGGGAGTCCTGAGTGACGGTGGCCCTGGAGGGAGTCCTGAGTGACAGGATCCAGAAGGGAGTCCTGAGTGACAGGAACCCAGAAGGGAGTCCTGAGTGACGGTGGCCCTGGAGGGAGTCCTGAGTGACAGGGACCCGGAAGGGAGTCCTGAGTGACAAGAACCCAGAAGGCAGTCCCGAGTGACAGGGACCTGGAAGGGAGTCCCGAGTGACATGATCCAGAAGGGAGTCCTGAGTGACAGGGACCTGGAAGGGAGTCCTGAGTGACAGGATCCAGAAGGGAGTCTTGAGTGACAGGGACCCGGAAGGGAGTCCCGAGTGACATGATCCAGAAGGGAGTCCTGAGTGACAGGGACCTGGAAGGGAGTCCTGAGTGACAGGGACCTGGAAGGGAGTCCTGAGTGACAGGATCCAGAAGGGAGTCCTGAGTGACAGGATCCAGAAGGGAGTCCTGAGTGACAGGGACCTGGAAGGGAGTCCTGAGTGACAGGATCCAGAAGGGAGTCCTGAGTGATGGGGGCCCTGGGATCAGGGCTGGGAAACGACTTGACCTTACTCAGGTTTTCTGGCTGCTTCGACAGAAACATGATAAAAGGGCAATATGGAGGAAAGAGTTCATTTATGTAATATGTTACCATCCTATAAACTATGCCTGCCCAAGATAAGGAAGGAATAAACACACATCAAAATTCCTATGTCAAGGCTGATATGAGAGTCACATCCATAGATACATTAAGCAACAATTTTATTTGCTTACATTCTTTTACATCCAGAACCAGGATAGCTTCTTGAATTCCAGCTTTGGCAGCAAGTAATGATCACAATAAAAAATAGTGTGCTCCAACTTAGCACTCTCAATGATAAATAAAACGAAGCATACGGTCATTTTCCTAAGTCATGAATTCAGATGAGTTACACATCAAGTCTTTTTCCAAAGTTCCTGAAACTTCAGGTGAGAATAAAGAGAGAGGCTGCACCAAATGAAGCGGGGTCTACCTAACCCCAGGAGCCCCCAGGTGCTGTGACAGGGGGAGGGGGGCATCTTGCTAGGTGACAGCTGCACTAGAACCCAGCAAACACTCTACTCACACGCTTCTTGCTTCTTAAACAGATTGCTCAGACAAATGTAATGATGTGGTCTCAAGCCCTGAGTGTTTTAGACATGATTTTCTTTGCTAGGATGGAACCTGGAGCCTTGGGCATGTTGCACAGTGGGTCAGCATCACTCTACCTCTGAGCTACAACCCAAGCCACTTTGATTCTGTGAGACAGAGTCCCACCATGTCACTGAGTGCCTTTGACCTCGAGGCTCTCTTGCCTTTGCTTCCTGAGGGTACCACCAGACTCAGTTTAATTTCCTACTCCAACATTTTCAATTTTTTTGTTTCTTCTGTTTTTTCTTTCCACAAATTCCCCAGGACGATCCCTAGGAACAAGAGTATTCCTAGGGTGCGGTTGGAGGTAAATTTATTCCAGCAGTCTTCGGGTCTGTGGATGTCGACAGTGTATATCTGAAAGAGAGAGCACAGCATAGGCGGAGTAATCTATTCAGGAGAAGACATAAGTTATAGGAAGCTGTATTACACCCTAACTATCTTCTAATGCAGAAAAATCAAAACATTTCTTACTGGGGAATCACTCGTACTGTGTTCTAAACGTTCTGGCTAGGGTGTGAGAATGTTTGGAGAAGCAATCCATTGCTATGCTTGGTTCTAACCATAGGCTGGATTCCTCCACACAAACATGAAATACTCCAATGCCCAAAGCTGACACCGCAGCTGGAGACTGCACACGGCTTTCTGTGATGAATCAGCCAGGATACAGGTGCTCTTGTATGCAAGCTCCTTCTGGCTATGTGACTAAGACAGACATGACACACATGGAAATTTCATGTTTCAGTTTGGGTCCCATTTCCAAGGCATACATTATATACATGCAAATATTGCAAACTTTTTTTAAAAAACTCTAACCCAAAGCTTTCTGGGCCTATGCACTCAGGGAAGGGGCCCTCCACCTGCCCTTGAGCACAGGAACTTGGCGGCCTCTAAAGCACCCTTGGGTTCCAGGTTTATTTTCCACAGCAGCATCTCAAATGAGGAACGTTTGATTTGAGCAGGACAACTTCATTCTGCAGGGTGATGAAATCTCTGCACATTCCTGGTTCTCACTCACTAAATGAGGAAGACATGCCTAGGTTACTATGACAACCAAAGATGGTCTACCCAAATGCTTTTGACTCCCTCCTGTGCTCACAAGGGATCCAGAAACCCAGATCTATGGCCAGCCACCTAGATCACCCACGTTCTCTTCTCCACACCAGCCCTGTGGATGCGGCAAAAAGGTGCATTCAACCTTCCGTCCTTCTACCCTTCCTTTCTGGACAGGGTCTCACTGTGTAGCTGAGGATGGCCGTGGATTCTGGATCCTCTTGCACCATAAATCACATTCCTGCCTGGCCTCAACTGTCTCTTTTCTATTGGGCAGTCCGCAGACTCAAAATCAGGACTTCCTTTCACAAAGCAAGTTTCAGGACAGCCATGGCTATATAGACAGATGAAGGAACGGAGGGAGGGAGGGAGGGAGGGAGGGAGGAAGGAAGGAAGGGAAAAAGTGTACTGAGGACTATAGATGCAATTTAAAATATCAAGTAGCCCACACACTACTTATAATACTTATAGAGACTTGTATGTTCCCTCTCCTTTACCATCTAATACTTTAAAGTATACTTTCTATTTAAACCAGACAATTAGTAGATGATTGTGGGCCTTGTAGAACCAAATTCTCAGTTCTTGGGGATTCTGAGACTTTCTGTAGAAAAAAAGATGAAACCCTGAAGAATCACAAATCCTAGCATTTACAGTGAGGATCATGCAGGTGTAATCTATGTCAGACCAATTCTGTTGTGCATGTCACTCAAGGCCTGCCTACATGACACATGGTTCCCAATAATACGTATAGAACACCATCTGAATACATGTTCATCATTACCTTTTTATCTTATTCAAAAAAAAAAAACAACTATGCAGCACTGTTTCAGAAAGCACCCATTTTTCAGTCACTGATCCAGTTAAACTTAGATCTGGCTGATCATTTTACAAGTTCCTTACGCAGGTTTCAGCATAAGCCTGCAGCAGCAGAGGAGCTGGGATGCTGGGTGAGCAATGCAATCACACTGTTTTCTAGAGGATTCAGTCAGGTCACCTTAGCATTTTCTGCTGGTTCTGTTGTTGGGGTCTCGCTCACAATAGCCAAACTCTCTAACACTGACTGGTATCTCCAGCCTGTTTTCATCTGGAGATCAGGTCCTACTCAGTGGCTTAGGCTGACTTTGAACTCATGCATCCTCCTGATTCAGCTTCCTCAGAAGCTGGGATTCCAAGCTACAGGGCCCATGCTTTCTGGCTGGCAGTGGTCTCCACACTAATGGAACTCACGATTGTTATGGTTTAAATTACATTTGTGTGTGTGCACATGGACACACGCCTGTGAGTGTGCTAGCACATTTGTGTGCCACAGTGTGCATGTAGGGGTCAGAGAACTCAAGGGAGCTGGTTCTCTCCTTCCACTGTGTGGGTCCTGGGGATCAAACTAAGTCCATCAGACTTGGTGGCAAGCACCTCATCAGATGAGTGACATGTCTGGCCCTATTTTACTATATTACTATTATTTTAAGGTTTATCAGTTTGCTTTTGGAGTAGCAAAAAATCTAATTTTTTTTTCCTAAATTAACAAGGTTAATTTTATTTGCTTCGTTTATTTTGGTTGTTTTGAGATGGTCCAGGCTGTTCTAGAACTCACTATGTAGACCAGGCTGGCCTCAAACTCACAGAGATCCTCCTGCCTCTGCCTCCCGAGTGCTAGGATTAAAGGCAGGCACTATACCTAGAAATGCTCATTTTCTGAAATTGAGGAGGGAGAAAAAGTTCAAAGCAATACAAGCCAAGCAGTTTGTTTCAGGAAGTTCCTTGCCTATTTATCAGTGGTTGTTTAAATATTTTAATAATTTATAGTAAGGAAAACTGAAGGGAAAGTAATGAATGAAAAGATCAAACCTGGTGAGCCAGGTGGGCTCCTACTGCAGCCACGGCAGCGTAGTAGGGGAGGGTCTGACCGCTGTTGGCGCCAGCCAGGCTCAGTGCTCCCAGCATGGCGATCCCAAAGCCACTGAGCCACTTCCTGGTGTTCTCCCTGAACAGCAGTGCTGTGGACTTCAGGCCAATCAGAGCGTCATCTCTTTTGTCCTAACACCAGGAATAGGAAAGCGTGTTTTGATATTTAATTCAGTAAGATGGAAATCACAGTTCTCAAGTATTCAACTTAGCCTTTCTAATATATGTACAGCTGATCCTGCTTTCCAACCAAAGAACACACATGTTAAAGAACATATAGCTATACCACAAGCTATAGAAAACGAGAGACTCCCAGCACTCAAGAGGCAGAGGTAGGTGGACGTGTGTTCAAGGCCAGTCTGGTCTCAGAGCGAGTTCCAGGACAGCCTGCTGGGCGCTGGTATTTGAAGGCATGCCCCACACCTGGGTTGGTCTTTGTTCTTCCTGAGCTCCATTCCTCCGGAGCTCTCAGTTCTCAGTTCCATTCCTCCGGAGCTCTCAGTTCTCAGTTTCAGTCTTGATGCTGTCACAGATGCGGGAGATGCTGCTCACTGCATATCCACACCCACCCACTCTCCACTCAGCCCAGCTGATCCCTTCACGTGGAGCTGGGTGCTGTAACTATCTCCTGGAACCAACACCTTCACGTGGAGCTGGGTGCTGTAACTATCTCCTGGAACCAACACCTTCACGTGGAGCTGGGTGCTGTAACTATCTCCTGGAACCAACACCATCATGTGGAGCTGGGTTCTTCTGGAACCAACACCCACACATACTCATAGAATTAATAAATAAATCTTTTTAAAAAGTTCGTAAGTATAACCTGACTAGACACACAAGTAGTAACCAAATGTGGTAGGGAATGTACTAACCATTTCATAATGTATACGTATGATACATCACTTCATACACACTGACTATAAACAATGCTTATCAACTGTGCTTCAGGAATCAAGAAAAACAACAACAGGCATCCCAAACAAACCACAAAAGGTAACACTAGGGAGCTGTAAGGACGTTTGTGCCTAAGTAAATACTCTTTGAAAACAAGATTTATTTTCAGTTATGTGTGCATACTGGTGGCCATGTACATGTGTATGGGTGCCATAGAGACCTGAAGGGGGTATCAGATCCCCAGGAGCTAAGGGTTACAGGCAGTTGGGAAGCACCAGGTGATCTTCTCCAAGAGCAGCAAGTGCTCTCAATTGTGGAACCATCTCTCCAGATCCCTCAAAACACTATTCTGGAAATTTTACTCACACACTCATATGTATGAAGTGTTAATGATGATAATATAATTTATAATTGTCAAAACTAAGTAACAGCTTAGTTTGCCAAAACAGACATATCATTATATTTCAAATTGTGATGCTATTCTAAGTCAAGGGACTACTAGGTATATTCAAGTGACAATGACAAAGAACAGATAAAAATATATGGGGATGGCCAGAGATGATGGCATATAACTGGGACCCAGCATTTGAGACTGTGGTGGAAAGGCCCAGGAGTTCAAGGACAGCCTTGTGCCTCAGAAACAGTAAGAAGGAAACTGAAAAGAGGGAATGTATTGCCTGCACACCTCACGGTCTGCCTGATGTGCTGACGAGATCCAGACAGAGGTAAGAGAAACTGAGTACAGAACTTGGACACCATCTGGGCTTGAATTTCAGCTCTGTTCCCACTACCCAGGGAACCATGGGAAGTTACTTATCCATAAAATGCGGACAGACAAGATCCTTCCTGTGTAGACTGTTAGACGATTAACTTGGTTTTTGTAAAATATTTAAAAGGGTGCCTGGAACATAGTAAATATTATTTAATGCTTATGAACAAAACAGAACAAAGCAGCTGAACTGTGGAGTAAACTAGTGTAAAAATGAGCAGCAATGTTTTGTTGGGTAAAGGGAGCAGGGGATGGTTTTCCTTTTAGGGAACAATCTCCTTTGTCTACCGTTAAAGTCACTGTGCAGATCTGTAATCCCATCTCAGAGGAGAGGCAAGTGAACCAGGAGCACAAGGTCATCCTTGGTTACACAAGTTCAGGGCCAGCCTGGGTAACATGAAATGTCTCAAAAACCAAATTAGACAAAGAAACAAACAAAAACGGCTCTTAGAAACCACAGCAGTGGGGTTGGAGAAATGGCTCATAGGTTAAGAGCATTGCCTGCTCTTCCAAAGGTCCTGAGTTCAATTCCCAGCAACCACATGGTGGCTCATAACCATATGTAATGGGGTCTGGTGCCCTCTTCTGGCCTTCAGGCATACACACAGACAGAACATTGTATACATAATAAATAAATAAAAAAAATTAAAAAAAAAAAAAGAAACCACAGCAGTTAAACCAAAGTTCAGAAAAATATATCATTTCTTTACCTGGTGGGCATAAATAGTATCATATATCAGTGTCCACATAACTCCAGAAAAATAAAGAGGCAGGCATACAGCTGGGTCACAGGAACCCTTGACAGCAGACCATCCAAGTAATGCACCCCAATTAAAAGTCAGCCCTGCAATCAGGGGAAGCAGAATGTACGTCAGCACACATAAGGCATAGGAACATAAGGCGGCACATGTCAAATGCTCACTCCAGTCAGACCCTGCTACACTGCTCTGTGTCCTTCACAGAATCTCCTCAACCTCCTGTGGCTGGTTCTTATTTGTACATCTTACAAAAAAAAAACAAAAACAAAAAAAAACCACAACAATAACAACAACAAAAAAACAGGCAGAGAAAGTTTAACTAGTAATTAAAATAACAGCTAATAATGTACCTAAGAATAAGGTACCTAAGAAGTTTGTGCCTGGCAGAGCCATCAAACTGTGAGTGCTGGAGTCGGAATGCAGACATACCAGGCTCTCTCTACCTCCCGGTAAGCTATGGGAACAGAGTACAGACAACACTCACTCTGCTCCCTCAGCCTCGGTGAGGTCTGTACACACATCCGTGCACTGACAGAGCCTACATCGACCTGCAAGGCTGATCACCTCCTAAGCTGCAGGCTAGAGGCTCAGCCTTCTGCGGACACCTCTGCCCACACAGCTCTCAAGTCATTCTGCACCTATCTTTCCCTTTCCTACAGCGTCTGTTCCCACTCCAAGCACCCCTCCTCTCCCGAGAAAGCACCACATCCACGTCGGCCACACCCACACTCTACTGCCATGTCCTGCCTGTCTCTCGGCCTCCAGTTCCTGGAAAACGGTGGCTGTGTTTCAGTCACATTTATCGTCTAAGCACTTGGCGCAAAGTGCAAGTGGGGACTCAGTGAATGCTTAGAGTAGTGTACTGGCTGCATTCGTGCCAGGCACAGGCATCAGTTTGAAAACAGAGTCTCAAACTTCTCCTACCAAACATTTCCAGACCCGCCACAACAGTACCGTCTACTCTAAAGAGAAAGACTCTCCATGACGGGTACACACTCCATCACAACTCTTCTACAAGTCAAGTCCTCATCCCTTCATGAAATCTCCCTGATTCTTTTCATTTACTGGAAAATGGTTCATAGAAGTAGAATCAGCCTAGGAGCAGTTTAGAATATCCTAGAAAAGGAGCAGTTTAGAATATCCTAGAAAAGGAATAGTTTAGACTATCCTAGAAAAGGAGCAGTTTAGAATATCCTAGAAAAGGAATAGTTTAGACTATCCTAGAAAAGGAGCAGTTTAGAATATCCTAGAAAAGGAGTAGTTTAGAATATCTTAGAAAAGGATGGGAAAGTCTGGAAGTAGTTTCTGACCTGCCCACCCTCCGTATCTCCCATCCACACAAACACTTTCTGGAGCGCTTGTGCTCTATAACGCCCACGCTGGGCTGGGCGGCAGGGAAAGATGCTCCTTAGTCGCTCACGGTTTACTAATGCAGAGCCAGAGAGCTGCAAATACATTCTGGCCAAAGTTTCATAGAGTGGGAGCTGTGGAAGCCTCAATTTTCACCTTGGTTCGCCCACAGAAGTGCATGTTACCTCACTCCCAAACTCCTTAGGATACCTTGATTAACCATCATCTTATGGCATATCTAGGGTTTTAAAGGCACTTAAGGAAAACAGTAATCTTGATAATTTTAACAAATCGCTAAGATTTCCCAGCCAATAAAAATAACTAAATTCCTTTGAAGCATAAAAATTTATTCTTCAGAAAACTTGACGACTGGCCTGATAATCACAGACACGCACACACCCATGCAGGACATAAAAACATGGCAGGCAGTGTGAAGGGAAATCTTTCGCTGTCTCAGTCTTACCCAAGGCTAACTGAGGCCAAAACGTGATTCTCTTCATCAGTGGGTAGGTGATGACAAGAAGTAAGGACGCCGCGCCCAAGGCTATGCTGGGAACAGAAGCAACAGGATTAAGGGAATCGTTAGAAATCAGTAACCATTTTCAAGTCATCAGTATCCCTAATTGCAAGGTATTTTTGTCTTAAGTACTATTTTTATGAAATTCTTTCCTAGAGTTTGCCTACTAGAGACAATGATTCGAAAAGCATTTTAAATGTCACAAAAGAACCAAACCAAACAACAGTTAACACACACAGTACTTCCATGCACTAGGTACCATTGTTAAGTGCTTCAGTTCTGTTCATTCTGAGCTTCACTAGGCAACAAGAGGTTCCTTCTGCAGAGGAAGGTGAAGCACAAAGAAATTAAGGAAGAGATTGTTGGTCAGCTCATCTGTGGGAGACCAAGGTTCAAACCTTAAAGCAATCTGGCTCCAGCATCCTGCCAATTTAAACGACCATGTATTACAGCCTGTTCAAAAACCATAAGATGTGCAGTAACTGTGCGCGCATGTGTGCATGCGTGTGTATGTGTTATGTGTGTGTGTACACGCACGCTGTGCACCCATGTGCACATGAGGGATGAGGAAAGAGGCCAACTTAAGATGTGCTCTTGAAGAGCCATACCTTGTTTTTTGACACAGGTGTCTTATTGGAGATCTGCCTGTTTCTGCCTCCCCAGTGCTGGGGACTGCACTTATATGGCAAGTGCCCCACCATATGAGCCATCTCCCTAGCTCTCCATGTGTCCAACAGAGAGTTCATCAGACCAAGGAGAGTCCCTTTCATACATAGCATATGTTACTTCTTAAGAAAGAAAATAGGACAGGTGGTGGTGGCACAAGCCTTTAATCCCAGCACTTGGGAAGCAGAGGCATGAGTATCTGTGAGTTCCAGGCCAGTTTGGTTTGCAGAGTGAGTTCCAGCAGCCAGGATAACTTGGTGAAACCCTGTCTTAAAACGAACAAACAAAAAAGAAAGGACAGAAGGAAGGAGAGAGATAGACAGAGAGAGAAAGAAAAAAGAAAAGAAAAGAAAGAAAAAGGGAAGGAAGGAAAGGACAGGAAAGGAAGGAAGGAAGGAAGGAAGGAGAGAGAGGACCTATTCTCCAGACAGCAATACTTAGCGGGCACGCTCTCTGTCGCCCTCTCTCCTTACTCAGGAGTACTCTGAGAACAGCCATATGATGCTGGGCCTATTTAGACTGACCCAAGAAAGGGCCCTCACACTTTTCTCTTCTACTACTTATATTAGTTTCAGACTCTGGGAAAGACACAGTTCCTCTTTATGTTAACTGAGCCTAACCACTTCTGCTTCCGGTACTCAGTGGTTACAGGCCGCAAAAGTAAAACTATACACATACCTATTGCTGTCCTACACACAGGGGATGGGCCTTGTGTCCCATCAGGAGCATCCATAGCAAACACTAAAGGTGCTTCAGAACCAAGCTGGTCTCCTCACTCCTTGGCTGAAGCGTCCCTGAATCTCACAGCACAGTGAGTTCCTTTACTCTTCTGAACCCATGAATGGATGCTTCACAAGAATTAACAGATTTGTAATAGAGAGAATTCTACATTCCACATTTTCTGATCCAGAGGACATGGTTTACACATAACTGTGCAACCACATCTACTGTACCTGTAGTAGTTCAAACACAGGAGAACTCCCAGTGCCAAGGTCAGCTGTCCCCCAAGGAAGACGAAGGACTGGAAGATTGAAATGTCGCCAGCGGCAATTGGGCGATTTGCTGTTCTCATAACCTCAACAAAGGAAAACAGACACTTTAACCTCATACACCAATTCAATTGTTTGTTTAAACATTGATTAATAGACAGGTCCATGAGCTGGCGAGATGGTTCAGGGGATGGGCACCCGCCTTCACGCCTCCTGTCTGGAGACAGAGCCTCAGGCCGACATGACGGAAGGGGAGAGATGCCTCATCCATTCTTACTCTGACTGCTCTCATGCAGAGCTTACTTAACCCATACAGAGAAGTGCATGCTATTTTAGAACTAAAGTGAGGGCTGGAGAGATGGCTCAGCAGTTAATAACACCAGTTACCCTTCCAGAATCCTGAGTTCAATTCCCAGCAATCACATGGTGGCTCACAACCATCTGTAATAGGATCCAATGCCCTCTTCTGGCGTACAGGCATACACACAGACAAAAGCACTCCTACATAAAATACCTAAGCAAATAAACCTTTGTAACACACATACAAAGTCATTATTTATATATACATACATACATACATAGTGAAAGACCCGAGGCAGGCACTAAAGCACAAATATGAACAGAGTGAAATCAAAATTTGAAGTACTATCGAGAACTAAAATCACGCGTTTAAATGTTTAACATGGCTTTTAAAGGGCAGTGTTTGTCCCACCATCCCCACCCCATCCCATCCTTAAACACAAAGTGTCTTCCTGATCTTGATGCTTAGCCACTGAGCTCAGCAAACACACAGGTCTTGCTTCCATAGGAAGGTGGTAAAATGACTGGAGTTCTCAGGAGAGAGGGAACCTCAGCAGGTTGCGGATAAGGCCAGCGCCCTGTTCTAGGATGGTAAGCACTACATGAGACATGACCCTGAATGGGTCTGTGCTATCGGACTGACGACGCTGAAATGATAAAGGTAAGTCAGCTGGAGAAATGTGGATGGCACTGTTAAACACGGGGATCATGACTGCTGCTGATTCTCCCCCCTGAAATGTGACTATGTCAAATTCAAACACATATAAAGATTATAATCAAAATTTTCAATGTTGTTAGAAATTAAGAACTTTAGATATGGGATGACAAAGCCTCACATTTGAGACTATGTTTTTAACCTATTGTTTGCCATACAATCACTTAGTAGTAAATCATCACCCCGGTATCAATGAACACACAGAAGCTGTGTTCCCGACAGCAATCCACTCTTCATTCAGTTCATCAGCAAGTTACTAACTGCTCAGTGCATTAATCAAACCCGAGCCATAAACATGTCCTTAGTGATGGACAACACTTTAGGAAACAGGGGTAAAGACTGCAACTAGGCCTTTAAGAGACAGGTGACATATTAACTCCCCAGGCAGCAAGCACCATCTCAATCAATGGGAAACACCTGCTCAACACCTGAGCTTTGTGAACGCCATTACACAACCAGACCCCTAGAGGAAACAGAAAAGGTTGGCTGGCTTGATTATCTTTTAATGAAACTTTTTCTCTGAGATGACTGCAGTTAAGAAATGGTTAAGAAATGGAGCTGGAACCAAATGCTACAGAGAAACCCTGTCTCGAAAAGTCCAAAAAAAAAAAAAAAAAAGAAATGGAGCTGGAGAGATAGCTCAGGGGTTAAGAGCACTGGCTGCTCTGCCAGGTTCAGTTCCCAGCACCCACACAACAGCTCATAACTGCCTGTAACTCCAGTTCCAGAGGATCTGACACCTTCACACAGACATATATGCAGACAAAACATGAATGCAGCCGGGCGATGGTGGCGCACGCCTTTAATCCCAGCACTCGGGAGGCAGAGGCAGGCGGATCTCTGTGAGTTCGAGACCAGCCTGGTCTACGGAGCTGGTTCCAGGACAGGCTCCAAAGCCTCAGAGAAACCCTGTCTCGAAAAACCAAAAAAAAAAAAAAAAAAAAAAAAAAAAAAAAAAAAGAATGCACATGAAATAAATTGTTAAAAAATATGGAATAAAAAAAAGAATATGGAACTCCCATATACCTGTATCATCCGTTCCGTTAATGACATCCTGGGAAACTTGATGGAACCAGAATTTTGATGTCAAGACAGACAAAACCTACTAAGATTCCTGCTCCAAGGACCTCCATTTTCCCTGGATGTCACTCTCTTCCCTCTGTCACTCCTTGATTCCTACAACCGCACAGAGGGTGATCCATTCAGGCTTTTCCTTTCTCTTGACATAATCCCGGGAAATGCACCCACACTGTTGCATGGATGATTTTGCTGTTGCTGCAGTTTTCCAGAGCATAAATGCATCATGCACGGTCTACTCACACAGGAAAGAACTACTGGCTTGTTTCAGTTTGGACCTATAAGTAAAGCCACTACATTCATATGCAAAATGCCATGTGAACATAAGCTTTGTTTCTGTGGAGGAATGCACAGGCACCCCTGAATGACAGCTGTGTACCCACAGGAAAACAAGCCGGGTTCTCTCCCCACCAGCAATAGTGGATATGTGAACTGCTCTAGGCAGCATTTAGTGCTGCCATTGTTTTCCGTTTCAGCCATCCTGATAGGTCTGTAGTGATACTTTACCGTAGTTGAAATTTGTATTTAAATCAAAGCTAATGATGTTAAAACAAAAATGTGTACGTGACACTTGCAGTTTTGCCATCTTCCTATGGGACGAATTCATGGATTGATCAGATTTTTATTTAGTGCTTGGCTCTGAGAATTTTGTATACTGGTATCCAGGTAGGTATGTGCTTTCAAAATATTCACCAGTGCATACTTTAATCCTCTTAAAGGGCCTCCAACATATCTAAACTAACTCTGGTGAAATCCAATACAGCAATATTCCTTTTTATGAGCTATATTTTCAGCATTTCTCTTCCACTGTACTCAAGAGCTGCAGACTGTGATATATCTTACTGTAGATTTATTTACCATGATGACAGCACCCACCTTCCTGATAACGTACTTACACAACGGACACTTACGCCCTTTGCCAAATTTCAGACATTCAGCTGTTATTTCTTCAGGTATTTTTTGGTATTTCTTACTTGAAACCCAAGCATTTTATGTGTCCCTAATCTCATTTATTTTATTTCATTATTTTATGTGTATGATGTTTTGCTTGTATGTATGTCTGTGGATCATGTGAGTGCCTGGTGCTTACCAAGAGGCCTGGAAAGAGCTTCAGATCCTCTGAAACTGGAGTCACAGATGGCTGTGAGTTGCCATGTGGGCACTGGGAGTTAAACCCAGGTTCTCTGGAAGAACAGCCAGTGCTCTTAACCACTGAGCCACCTCTCCAGCCCCTCTAATCTCATTTTAAACTTGTTTTAGCTGGGTTATTGACACCACTTTGGTCAGTGGAAGGGACTGCAGATGCTGCCTAATTATTTCCAGGTGGAATTAGAAGCGCACACCTGCTCCTGAGAAATAGGCTTTTGTGGGTGCTTGGTTTTGTCTGTGCCCATTTGTGTCCCCAGCCTGCTGGCCTCTTCAGTTCTAAGATTGAGATATGCGAGACAAAAATAATACACAAAACTAATGTACCATGCTCTTCTGGGGTTCCTGGGGCTCTGCCACCTTTTCCTCTCCAGTCGGTTTTGTTGTTTTCTAAGTGACAGTTGGAGTTTCTTAGTGGGAAGGATAAAGGACAGCACATGCGGTCCCCTTCCTGGAGCACAAGTCAGACTACGTGAGTGGTTACAGGGTGGGGCTGGCGCATGCTTTCTAAGGCTGCTCAGTCACATACTGTACCTTTTCATGTCTTCTTCAATATGTACTTCCCAAGCTCAACAGTATTAGACTAGTTCTGAGGGTAACTAAGAACAAAATCCTTTCTGAATATTTAATCTCAAATGTTCGCTTTTATAAACAGCACATGGTTCCTCACACATGTGCTAATTTCTAGCACTGGTTTTCATCTTCTATAAGCCTTACACTGAGCTTTAAAAAGGGAATGCTGAACTACTTTAAGCACAAATCTGAAGTCTCATTTATAACAATATGCAGAACGAAAATGATCCAGGAAATATCAACATTCAAATCAGGTTTGCATTTGCTGGCCAATCAAATAGCCACAGCTGTCTGTATGGCACGGAGGTGCCCATCAAATGGTTTCTGCCCACTTCCATCCCATCCCGATCCCAGGAAACACACGCACGCACACAAGAGGGGAGATAGAGACAACTGTCCACTACAGTGCACTTCTGTCTCCCAGTAAGAAACTAACTAAGAGTAAAACAGGCCACTTGTGAGAAGTGTATTTTTAGTAGGTGAGCTCTTGTGATAACACTTGTTGGTGTATAATTTAAAACTCGTACACTCAGGGTCTGGTATTTTCCACTTCTTAGTTTTGGTCCATGGCCGACTGTGGGTAACTGGAACTTAAGAGCAAACTGAGGGCAGGGGCTTTGGGGGAGCCAAAGCTAATGCCTGCCTTAGTCATTTAAACTAAGACCTCGGAGGCAAGGATGACTTATCTTTAGACGTGGAAAGGTTCAGGGTCAATTTCTAGCTGTCTCTCCTACCTTTAGCTCCTCCATTCTAAATTACCTGTAAAACTCCAGTACACATCCCTGCTCCACTCTTCTGCCGGAGGGAAGTGAACTGCCCTTTGCAACAGTGGTTAGTCATGGCAGACTTCAGTGGCATCATGTGAGGTCATCATGGTGTTCTGCAGAAATGAGAGAAGCCTCCGTTCCTTCCCAGGGTGAAGCTACCTTTTTATCGAAGTCACGGTCCCACATGTCATTAATAGTACAGCCAGCTCCACGCATCAGAATAGCTCCAGTGCCAAAAAGTGACAGCATGTACCAGTCAGGAAAACAGCCTGGTTCAGCGGCCAGACCAATGCTCCAGGTGCATGGCAAGTACAGCAGCCAGGTTCCTAAACGAAACCAGAACCACACGGAAAACAGAAACGGACACATTTAAATCAGATAATTGCTTCACTTTCTTAATCACTGTTTTGGCTTCTGCTGCTGTGACAAATACCATGACCAGCTGAAACCAGGGAAAGGGTTTATTGGGTATGGCTATCCCCATCACAGACCATCATTAAAGGGAGGCAGGGCAGCAACCTGGAGGCAGGACTGATGCTTACTGGCTTGCTCAACCCATTTCCTTCTACCACCCAGAACCATCTGACCAGGGTAGCACTGTCCCCAGTGGGTTAAGCCTTCCACATCATTAACCAAGAAAATGTCCTGGGCAATCAGAAGGACACATTTTCTCAGTTGAGGTCACCTCTTCCCAGATGACTCTAGCTTGTGTCAAGTTGACAAAAATACTCCCCCCCCACATACACACAAAAAAATCAAGTACACAGCACAATCACCACATCCCCCCAAAAAGTATAATCACAGTAAAACATAAGACAGGTCAATGCCTGGAATTACAGCACTGGGGAGGCTGAGGCAGGAGGACCAAGAATTCAAAATAATGGTTCCTAAGCTACAGAATACCCAGAGCACAGTGTAGCAAGACCTTCCTTGGCCACAGGCACATATTACAATTATGACCTCACTTACTGAGAGCCTGTAGTGGTCCCTACAGATTAGGCAGCTCTTGCAGACCAAAAGGTCAGGAGACCTCCACATGTAAGGGGGCAGATATAGACACTAAAGTATCTGAAGGCTTAAGTCTTAATTTCATCTGAAAACAAGGAAAAAGAGCATCTACCTCACTGAGTTTTAAAAGAGATAACAATATTAAGGCCGACAGTTATGAAATCTGAACTTGGGGCTACACGTATTCTACCAGTCTACAGGCAGAATGGATTAACCAACTATATAAAGATACATACAAATACGGGCAGTGGTGGTGCACACCTTTAATCCCAGCACTTGGGAGGCAGAGGCAGGCAGATCTCAGTGACTTCAAGGCCAGATTGATCTACAAGACAATTATGAATGTTACACAGAGAAACCCTATCTCAAAAAACAAAATAAAACTAAAAGAGATGTAGCATACATAAGTACAGTCAGTTTTCTCTTGTTTTTAACTCCTGAAGTAATAATAATATTAATATTCCTTGAGCCCCTGTCATGTGAAGGCACTTATCAAAGCACAGAGGATGTTTAGGAACTCCAGGTACCGGCAGCAACAGCTGTCACAAAGCACTTTTGGGTCTGAAGTAGAACACCCCCTACAGGCACTGGCATTTAACAAGTGGCTTTAGAGGACGGTGCTGTGTGGGAGATGTAGGAGGTGCAACCATAGAGGACAAAGCCTATCACTTTGTTTAAAGACGTGGCCCTTCTCAGTGTGCTCTCTGCTCTCGGCTTCTTTCTAGCCACATCTTGGTGCCATGCTCCTCGCCATGATGGATCTAACCCTCTGGAACCACAGCCCAAATAAACCCTTTCTTCCATAAGTCGCCAGATCATGGTGTTTTACCACAGCACAGAAAGGTAACTAATCCAGAGACTGAAAGACAGAGGGCAGGATTTACCCGAAGTCACTCTGGTTAAGATGGAGCTCTAACCCAGAAGTCTAGCTGCAGCTTAGGTCAAAAACTCTCAGTTCCCATACCTAAATCTCAGTGCATACAGACATTCTACTGCTTCAGCTCTCCTGACTCCAGGGACACTTCTGTCTGTCCTCTGTGACACCTTCGTTCCTATGGCTATTCTGTGAAGACAGGTACCGGGTAGTGAGAAGCCAAATAGGCTACGGACAGAAATGTTTATTATGAAAGAGAAAAACTCTCTGGGAGATGAAATAAAATGGTCAAATTCTGAAAGTGATGGGCAGAACAAAATGCTTGTGTAGACTGGGCCTATGATTCTCTAATTATATAGATTTCCTTAAGACAACAAAATCACCCATGGAGAAGGAAAAATGACACTGCCATTTTGGTGGAAAGAGTGCCACCTGGTGAAACTTCTGCAGTAATGCAGGCTTTGTGGAGCTCAGCAGTATTGTGCTGGCCTAGCATATGGAAGGCCTTGATCTCCAGGTACTGGAAAACAACAATGAAACTTTGTTACTGCCTTCTCAAAAAAAAAAACTGAAGCCTGACAGTGGTCTATGAAAGTAATAAAATATAATCCCACTACAGTAAAATAATAACTATCTTACAAGAAGAGAATTATAAATATTTAGCAGAAATGCTACTGCCAATTACTGCTCCTGACACATGGTTGGGGCCCAAAACCATTTGTTGAGTGAATTCTATCCTGTATTCATCTTATTTAGCATCAAAACATGCAAGCCAGCATTTTAAGATACTTATAAATCTCGAATCCCCACTACTATTCTGAAGTAACAGTGGCTAATGCTAATAAAGCCACTAATAGTGCCCTTATATGCGGGCATGATTCAAAGTATCTATCATGGTGTAGATGTTAAGAATAATTTTAAAAAGTCAACATTAGCACTTCCCTTTTATAGATAAAGAAATGAAAGTGGAGAGACATAAAAAAATTTAACCACACTCCCTCCACTGAATGGAGAAGGGCCAAAGAGGTCTCGGTCTAAACTTGGCTCATGACCATTTTATAGAGTCCTGTTACATATACAGCCACTAGAATATGTTTAACTGTGGAAGCAGGAACAATGGCAGCTGTTGATCTGTCCTGCATGCCTGTAAGTCTATCCTGTAGCTCTGTCATACAGAATCTAAGAACAGAATTATAAAGTGCTGTGTGAACCCCGAGTTACATAACACGCTAACAATTGCAGGCCTACCTTCCGTTTAGAGGCTTTTGTACTTTAATCTCTGATTGTTAAAATCTGGGCCTGAATGCCAAACAGGAACACATGTAAAGACTATCAAAAGCAAGGCCTTGCTGGGTGCGGTGCCACTCCAAAGAATGGGGCAAGCTCTGAGTACAAAGCCAACAAGCCCTTGTCTCACACAAAATGAAATAAAACCCAGCATGGTGGTGCATGCCCGAAATCCAAGCAATTGGGAAAATATGGAGGCAGGACTGAATTCAAGACTGGCCTCAGGTACATAATGGGACCCTGTCTGAAAACAAAACACCAAAACCCACAAAAGGCCACTTTGTGGGGTGGGTCTGGATAGAAAAAGGTGGAATAAGCAATTTACACATTTGGATGTACTTCTAGACACTGAAACTGTATATACCAACATCGACATTGGCTAGAATTCTGCCTTCACCTCTTCCTGTTACCACTTTCTTCGGTCCAGCCTGTCTCCCATTGTGTGGTTTTGCAGGCAGGCTTTTTTTTTTTCCCCCTCAAGACAGGGTTTCTCGTTAGCTACAGAGTCAGTCTGGCACTCGCTCTTTAGACCAGGCTGGCCTCAAACTCACAGAGATCCGACTGCTTCTGCTTCCCGAGTGCTGGGATTAAAGGCGCACGCCACCACCGTCCCAGAGGTTAATATTCTTAATACACGACATGTTTTTGTTTTTTCAGAGCATACAGCTCAGACTGGCCTGCGACGTGAATCGGTCGTCCTACTTTAGCCTCTAGAGGGCTGCATCACAGGTGTGAGCCACCACATCTGGATCTCGAAGCTCTTTCTCCAAGATCTCCTCACTCCTCCGCTGCACAGCGCTTCCTTTGGAGTGCTATTTCTTCTGTTTTTCAAGGACTGGAGACCCTTAGAAAGTTCTTTTTCTTGTGCATGACCTATACCAGAGATTTGTTTCTATACTTTCCTAGGTCATCAACTCTTTTCCAACCAGAAACAAATTCTTTGAAAGCTGATAGTTTCCCTAGCTTTCTATCACTGGGGCCAAGTAAATTCCGTTAGCTGCTGGGCTGCGCTTTAGGAGCTCCGTGCATATGGAGCTTATATTGTATCACAGCTGTCAACAGTGCACACATTAGTAACCGATAGGCACTATGATGAGCAGGAGAAAAAAAGAAGGGGGTCGTAGAAGAAAGAGATGATTGTGTCAGTCTGACGTTGACAGGCAACCCAGAAGCGCGACACTGTCTGCGTCAAAGGCACTAAATCTCGGTAACCGGTGATGCAGGAGAAAAAGCCAGGCACCAACGCTAGGTCCTCCTATAACGAGGAGCCTTGGTTTCTTCAACAGTCTTACTAATGTGTCTTTGGGCCTTATAGGGTTGGCGGCAGAATAGAAAACTAATGAATGCAGAAATGCTCCAAGTCTGCAAATCGCCACGCGTGGGTTTCGAGAAAGCAAAGGTGGGCTAGATCATCTCCGAAGGGCCTCCGTGAAACTCATCTTTCTTGCTATCACTGTCCGCCTCCGGGGCTCAGGACAATAGGGGGTCCCCGACTGAAGTCCTGACCAGGTCCCGAAGTGACCGGCACCACGGGCCCACCCCTGGCAGCCGGGGCCCCGCCCTCTCGCCTCACTCACCGATGGGTTTGTCCAGGCGCATAAGGCGCAGGTAGGGCTGCAGGGGGCGCGGCGCCCAGTTCACCACGGCCGCGGCCGACAGGCTGAGTGCGCGCCCGCGCGGTGCCCCCGGGGCCGGTACCCGCCAGTCCCGCGCGCCCCAAGCCCCTGCCGTGCGGGCCAGGGCCAGAGAGAGTCCGAACGGACATCGCCGCCACGCCGGTGTCACCGCCCTCAAACCCCACGCCAGCCCTGCGCCCCGCAGGCCCAGCATGGCGCCGAGGCTCGACGCCGCTTGCTGACGTCATCCGGGGACGACCCGCTTCGAGCGGGCGAGCATGCGCAGTGGTGGCGAACGGCCGTTAGCTGGCTGGGTGGGAACTCAACCAGCTTTAAGGTGTCGCAGGTGTGTGTGTCTGTGTGTGCGTGAGTGCATGTCTGTTAGATTGCCTGTATGTATGTAGAAGTGTGTGTCAGGTTGTCTGCATGTATGTAGCAGTGTGTGTGTGTGTGTGTGTGTGTGTGTGTGTGAGGCTGCCTCCGTATATGTGCATTGCGTGTATATGTGCTGTATGTACGTGTCAGGATGTCTTCATGTGTGTAGCAGTGTATTAGGTTTGTATGTATGTGGAAGTGTGTCAGGTTGCCTGTGTGCGCATCATGTGCGTGTGTGTTGTATGTATGTGTCATGATGTAGCAAGTTCTCCTGTATATGTGTTGCTTTATCAATTCTTGTTTAATTTGCATAATCTGGTTTCCATATACCTTGTCTAACTCCGCTTGGAGCTGCGCTAATTTCTGTTCCGTTTCTTTTTCCATTTTTTTTGCATTATACCGGGTTTCTGAAAAGTTTTCTTCATTTTTCTTTTGGAGTTCTTTGTCTCCATGAACTGTTTAATTTCTAGGCAACATTGCTTCACTTTTTGCTTAGAACCAGCTAGTTCAAGGTTTAAGCTTTTGGTTTCTTGGTCTTTTTTTTGTTTTTTGTTTTGTTTTGTTTTTCGAGACAGGATTTCTCTGTAGCTTTGGAGCCTGTCCTGGAACTAGCTCTTGTAGACCAGGCTGGCCTCGAACTCAGAGATTTGCCCACCTCTGCCTCCTGAGTGCTGGGATTAAAGGTGTGTGCCACCACCGCCCGGCGTAGATAAACCCCAACACACATGTCAGATGTGTTACAGCTCACAACCTGTAACTCCAGCTCCAGGGAGATGTGACGCTCCTGTCCTCTGAGGGCACCTGCTCTCATGTGCACACCCTCCCCCTCCCACATAATTAAAAAATAACAAAAAATACCTAAAAGAGTTCGAGGCAAAGTCAGGGAGAACGAATGACTTAGATGTTGCTATTGCTGTGCCCAGATTACAACCCCCAGAGAGACCACCAGAGAGGCCAGACTGTAATAAGTAAGGTTTGTTAGCATACTATGAACTAGTTCGGAACTCATCTCCAACCCCTTCTGCAGTGAGGAGTCAGAGCTCCTCTGTGGGCTTAGCTTTTAAAGGCAAGAATTACAAGAAGGCCTTTTGAAGTTGCTTTGGCACGGGAGCAAGGTCTTTTACTCTGTCCCATCCTTCTATGTCAGCTAGTTCTTTGTTCTTAGAGCAAGGTTATACTGTTCCTGAATCAGGCCATCTTTATCAGCCTATACCAGGTGGCCAGGCGTAATTTCTCAGGTGGGGAGGCCACTATCTTCCTGGGAACAAGCTAACCTGGGTTTTTAGTTTTAAAACATTTTGCTAGAAAATTCCTTCTCAGCTGGGCAGTGGTGGCGCATGCCTTTAATCCCAGCACTCGGGAGGCAGAGACAGGCGGATCTCTGTGAGTTCGAGGCCAGCCTGGTCTACAAGAGCTAGTTTCAGGACAGGAACCAAAAGCTATGGAGAAACCCTGTCTCGAAAAATCCAAAAAAAGAAAAAAAGAAAAAAGAAAATTCCTTCTCTTCCCTTGAGAATAAAGGGTGAGGGTCTCACAGCTATAATCATACAAGTGAAAAATTAGGCATTGCATTTATTCAGTGGAAGAGGAACAAGGAAAATAAATAGGTAAGTTCAGACGTTATGACTGAAGTAGGAAATTATGTCTATGCGTAATGGTTCCTTTTCTTCAGAGTCAAGAACCTCAATGTTGGGAGGATGGGCTAATATAGGTAGGAGGTAAACAGAAGATAGTGAAGGAAAAGGCTCCATCCATCCATCCATCCATCCATCCAGAGCAGTGACGAGGATCAAACTCAGGGCCCTTTGTCTGTTCTAGGCTAACATTTTCCCAGCGGGCCACAACTTCAATCCATCCAAACCAGACTTTCAAATGTAAGAACCTGTAACCTTTAGCTTTTTAGAAGAATAAACATGCAAATTAAGGCTATAAAATTATTTTATTTCAAATGTGAGAATATAAAAACTGCTTGCATAAAAATTTGAGAGTATTCCAATAGAACATCCTCATTGTCTTAGTGTGTGGGTGCACCCCTTGTGGTCCTGAGTTCCTTGCTCGTGCTCCGTCTCCTTCTGCTCCTGATTTGGACCTTGAGATTTCTGTCCGGTGCTCCCGTGTGGGTCTCTGTCTCTGTCTCCTTTCATCGCCTGATGAAGGTTAATATTCCTGAGGATGCCTATGTGTTTGTCTTTGGATTCGCCTTATTTAGCTTCTGGCCTAGGTCTGAAAAAGCATGGGATAAATCCGGACTAGCTGAACATAGCGGACAATGAGGAATACTGAGAATTCAAGAACAATTGCAGTGGGTTTTTGATCCTACTGCACGTACTGGCTTTGTGGGAGCCTAGGCAGTTTGAATGCTCACCTTACGAGACCTGGATAGAGGTGGGCAGTCCTTGGGCTTCCCACAGGTCAGGGAACCCTGATTGCTCTTCGAGCAGATGAGGGAGGGGGAATTGATCGGGGGGAGGGGGAGGGAAATGGGAAGCGGTTGTGGGGACGAGGCAGAAATCCTTAATAAATAAATAAATTAAAAAAAAAATTTGAGAGTATTGACACATCCAAACTTTTACGTCTAGCTTAATCAATGTACTCAAACTCAATTGAGATAATATTCATAGCAGACACAAACATGTAGAATTGTAATCCTTAAGAGGTTTATAATCCTGGGGGAAATAATTATATGTTACTTGATCAAAGCAGAGGACTGTAATGTCCAGTGCCGTGAACCTCACCAAACCTCTCTGTCCCAGAGGATTGCTTGATGACAGTTACAGGGTTCGAATGGCCAGGGGTGGTGACTGGGGAAATGGCCAGAGGACTTGAGACTGAAGAAAGGCTTGCTGGGAGAACCCCAGGAAAGATGCCTTCAGGCCTGTAAGAAATGGCTCATCTTTGATTGCTGCCAGATCTCTGAATCTGTGGACAGTCACAGCCATCGTGTGAGCAGGCCAGGACCAGTGCTACAGGCTGGTGAAAGAAGCCGCTCCCTGGTGATGTGGCCACGGGAACAAGTTCTTAGTGGGATTATCAATGTCCTCACCTAGAGGTTTCTGTTGCTCACAGGCCAAAGCTTCCCAAGAGAAGCAAGAACTAGTGGTGTAGAAAAAGTAAACACTAGGATGATTGTGACGTGTCGGGTGTTTCCAGAAACTTCTCGTAATCAACCAACCGTCTCCTTTACAGTCATTTCCAGACTTATGCCGTCCCTTCCCGCTCAGGGGTTGGCACTGGTTTTCTGTGTGTTTTTAATACTACCCCACCCAGCCATCTGTCCTCTCACAGATGGTTTCTGCAGAACAAAGCGAAGAGGCACAGGGCCAGTCCTCTTCATTTTAGCTCCTCTAAGATGTCAGCAGGTGTAGGTCATTTACAGCCAGTGTGAAGTTGTGGCAATGAACCTTTCCCTGCCGGAGCCACACTAAGGCTCCTGACGGAGAGACCTGACAGTCTTCTGACCAAAATGCTACTAAAAAGAACCAGCTTTAAAAAAGCCATGACATAACCTTCGCTTATTTACTTCTTGGTCGTATCAGAGGCATTTCTGTACTTTCCTATTTTTAATAATCCCCCAAATAGTGCATGCAAAATGCTAAGCATCATTTGGCACATGGTGCCATTAACTGTCATCACCTCCAGGGTTCGACTTAGATGAAATCACCACACTCCACTCAACACTGACCGTGCCCCAGTCATCCCGAGGCTCTTGAGCTCGGCAACAAGTTGGCCTTCCTACACCCTCGTGAATAACACCCCTTCCCCTCTCATCTCAGGGCTACTGCGTGCCTTTTATTTTCATAAACAAGCAGCAATTTTAGCATTTCTTATGACAAAAAACCCATACGAAAAGGCAGGCATTCCTAGTGAGCTTCCTGGGCGGAGAGGTTTCTCTGTTAAAGCTGGCAGGGTCTGGTCATCCACCATCTTCAGGGTCTCACCGTTCAGCTGGACAGATCTACAGGAAGGAGAGACACGCTTGAGTTAGGCAGGATGCGCATGCACTCCGGCCCCGACAAAAGTTGCAAAATAGTTTTAAACCAAGGAGGACTTCGGCGGCAGCTGGCGCTGTTATTTGTATCTCAGCAGTAGGTAAGACCAGGTGTTTGACAAACTTTAAACTACGGTGGGAAAGTAACTGAACCAGAGAGCATGCGGCCCTGTAGAGAAACATGCACAAATGGTGCACCTATTTTCTCTGCTTTTCCAAGACAGCGTCCCATCCTATAGCTCAGGCTGGAACTTACTATACAACCCCGGCTAGCCTCAGACTCCTAGTGACCATCCTACCTCCACTACATCGAGGTTCTTCATCTTTTTCTTAAATGTTTTTTGTTATATATAATGATTGACAGGATTGATAAGTTATTTTTATGCCATTCATGGAATACATGTGACGCATGTATAATAATCATCAATCTGCTTGTATACAATAAGCACCATGTAGATGTTAGATGCACCATTTTTCATACAAATAAACGTAACAAGCCAGGCCTGTGCACCCAGGAGGTGCAGGCAGGAGTTTAGAACTAGCTTTGACTACACAGCTTATTCAAGGCAACAGGAGACCCTATCTCAAAAACTCCAAAAACAACAAAACCTAGCAAAAGTAATTCATTATGTCATCTTACTTTTTTTAAATATTGATTTATTTATTATGTATACAATATTCTGTCTGTGTGTATGCCTGCAGGCCGGAAGAGGGCACCAGACCTCATTAAAGATGGTTGAGAGCCACCATGTGGTTGCTGGGGATTGAACTCAGGACCTTTGGAAGAGCAGGCAATGCTCTTAACCGCTGAGCCATCTCTCCAGCCCCATCATCTTACTTTTAATATCTCGACATTCATTCCATCTTTCTAT